ATTCTGGTACCACTTCTCTGTTCTCTTTCTCCCTTTGTCCTCAGAGGTAAGCACTATAATCCACTTGCTGTCTCAAGTTCACGTTTTTAAAATTGTACCACATATATGTATCTATAAATAATATATATTATTGTGATTTAAATTTTTTTTACATAAATGATATCATATTGTGTGTAATATTCTACAGATTTTCTTGTTCACTATTATATTTTGAGGTATACTCATTTTGTTTCATAAAGATATATCTATTCACTTTAACAGTTTTAATTTTTCAACGCATGAAAAACTACAATTTATGTATCTATTCCCCTTCTAACAGATATCTGAGTTATATCCAATTTTTTGCTATTAAACATATATTGCAGTGAACACACTTTTATGTTTCCTTGTGTATCTGTGGGAATGTTTCTCCAGGTGATATATACAGGGGTGGAATTGCGTTCCCGAATTGCTCTGCAATCTGGATTTTTACATTTCTCAGAAAAATCTTAGCTCTATGTGGTATACTTCTGGACTTAACTCTGAGCAGGAGTGGGATGACTTTCTATTCAGGCTCTGTTCATTTTCTCATTTTTCACAAGAGCATCTCAACCCCAGCTTTATTCTCTGTTAAGGCTAAAGGGCTTATATGTCCCTTATGTGTCAGGCTTTTGTCAGAGTGAACAAACTCAAAGTCACATCTAGCCAAGATCTATCATATGCTTAGAGGAGAAAACAATAGTTATGGAAGATTACTTGGAAAATACTCAGACTACCCATTCTCCTGATGTTCTAAATATAGACTAAACTAGAGCAGCAAAGGACTTAAATTATATCAAACTGGTGCCCAGCCTAGACCCTTGCTACTTAAAGTATGTTCCACAAACCAGCAGCATCAGCATCACCTGGGAGGTTTTTATAAATGCTGACTATCTGGCCCTACTCCTGATCTATTGAAATGGAATCTATTTTAACAAAGTTCCCAAGTGATTGTATATATAGTAAAGAGTAAGGAGCACAGTTTTAGATAATTACTTCTCATTTTGTTGCTGATGCTTTGGTTTCATCTGCCTTAATTGAAGCTAATGAAACACACTGCTATGTACACAATAAGAAAAATGTTCAGGTCACTGGCCATTACATCAATAATAAACTCTTAATGAGGACTCTCCAGAAAAATTTGTCTGATCTTAGTGTCAGAAATAGTTGTGTTTCTACTGAATAACTATTTCATTTTAATCTTTGAAACAGTGGGAAATATGTAACTGACCAGAGTCTCTTTTTCCTTGACTGTTAATTATCCCAAATGGGACTAACAGCAGGTATATAGGCATTTACAGTAGACCCTCTGAATTAATCTCAAGTCTGGCAATATTTTATGTCCCAATAGTTGTTGTTTTCATCATTTTCATGTGTTTAAATTCATACTTTCTAGCTGTATTTTATTTATCATTGTGAGCTATGTTAACTTACATTTGGAACAAGAGAACAAAGGAGTAGAACACTAGTTGGTGCCAAATTATATCAAATATAAGAGTTTCCCATAGTTTTGATCACTGAATACATTATACCTTCGTGTCATCTCATAAAATAATGATGCTTAAAGCACAAAAATCCCGACACATCTCTGTCTGTTGAATATGACATTAGAGTTAATGTAATGGGAATTTTTTTGAAGACTTTATTTTTTTAAGAGCAGCTTTAGGTTTACAACAAAACTGAGAGGAAGGTAGAGATTTCTCATATACTCCCCATCCCCACATGTATATCCTTCCCTATTATTGACATCACTCATAAGAATGGTACAGTTTTTACCAAAGATGAACCTACATTGACACATCAATAATCAACCAAGTTCCATAGTTTAAATAATGTTGTACATTCTACAAATCTGAACAAATATATAATGACATGTATCCATCATTATGATATCATTCAGAATATTTTCACTGCCCTAAAAATCCTCTGTCCTCTGCCTATTCATCTCTCCCTCAATTCCCTCATCCATAGCTACCACTGATCTTTTTACTGTCTTCATAGTTTTTCCTTTTCCAGAAAGTCATATAATTGAATCATACAGTATGTAGCCTATTCAGATTGGTTTCTTTCACTTGGTAATACGCATTTAAGTTTCCTCCATGTCTTTTCATGGCTTGATAGCTCATTTCTTTTTATTGCTGAATAATATTCCTTTGTCTGGATGTATCACAGTTTATCTATTCATTCATCTACTGAAGGACATCTTGGTTGCTTCCAATTTTGGCAATTATGAATAAAGCTGCTATAAACATCTATGTGTAGGTCTTTATGTAGACATAAGTTTTCAATTCCTTTGGATAAATAACCAAGGAGCACAATTACTGGATCATATGGTAACAGTATGTTTAGTTTTGTGAGAAACCACCAAACTGTCTTCCAAAGTGGCTATATCATTTTGAATTCCCACCAGCAATTTCCGAGAGCTCCACATCTTCACCGGCCTTTGGTGTTTTCAGTGTTCTGGATTTTTGCATTCCAATAGGTGTGTGGTGGTATCTCATTGTTGTTTTAATATGCATTTCCCTGATGACATATGATGTGTCCATCTATTCATATGATTATTTACCATTTGTGTATCTTCTTTGGTGAGGTGTCTGTTAAGGTCTTTGGCCCATTTTTTAATTGAGTTGTCTGTTTTCTTATGTTGAGTTATAAAAGTTCTTTGTATATTTTGGATAACAATTTTTTATCAGATGTGCCTTTTGTAAATATTTTCTCCTAGTCTGTGGCTTGTCTTCTAATTCTCTTGACAGTTTCTTTCACAGAAGACATTACAGGAATTTTAAAACTTATACTAAGTATAAGTATTTTGAAAAATAAAACATTTTAAGGAGATAACACCAAGCTTAAATAAAATTTAAATGCCAACACTGTGAGATGATGCTTCACATGGCAACAACTGACATAATCATGAGGCATGAGTTTGCTCGTGCTTGGCAGTACAACCTAATTTGACATTTCTAGAATCTTTCCAAGTACTATAGTTCTTACAAAATGTTTCCTGAATGTTTAGTCCTTTGTCAAGGACTGAAATGTAGCCCAAAGTGTATTGGACTTAAAAGCAGTACATATGTGAATGAAAATTGGCTGTGCTACTTATTAGCAATGTGACCTTGTCAAAGATATTTATCTGCCCCAGAGTTTCCATTTCCATAGAAGACAGTAAGAATACCCACTTCACAAATTTGTTGAGAGAATTATTGAGATAATCTATACAAAAGAGCCTTGCACAGAGTCTGGCAATTATCAGGTGCTAGTGCTTCTGTCTGGCTGTTAATTAACCTTGTATTGTTTTGTTAATATACCCAAATATCACAGAGTTAGAGAACATCTAGAAAATGTTGTTCAAACAATAATGTTAATAGTAGTCCTTAGTTTAACAGGTATCTTAGTGTTGGAAATTTAGATTATGTCTTATTTTCCACTCACAAATAATGCTATATGTATACTTATATCTCTGTGTGCATTCCTTATTATTTCCTTATGCAGAATACATTTCTAGAAATGAAACCATGGGATTGAAGGATATTACTATTTTGAAACTCTTGATATTCATCATCAAACTGTCCTTCAGAAAATTTATATTTTTACTTTCAGTCTATGAATTTATTTAGTCTTGATCCTAAATCCAGATTGGTATCAGGGGGCCGGCCCCATGGCGTAGCGGTTAAGTGCACTCCTTCTGCTGCTGGCGGCCCGGGTTAGGGTCCCGGGCGTGCACCGACGCACCACTTGTCAGGCCATGCTGTGGCGGTGTCCCATATAAAGTGGAGGAAGATATGGGCACGGATGTTAGCCCAGGGCCAGTCTTCCTCAACAAAAAGAGGAAGATTGGCATGGATGTTAGCTCAGGGCTAATCTTCCTCACAAACACACTAAATAAATAAATAAAACTTAAAAATAAAAGATTGGTATCAATATAATTAAATAATAATTACATGCATAAGAAATTTTTGAAAGATATATGGAACAGAAGACTAAATTATGACCAAGGTAGCCTTAACATTTTCCTCAGTTTGACTAAACTTTAGACAGGTTTCTTCCTGACTGTAGTCCCTTCACCTCCCTTTTCTTAGAGAATTTACTTTAGAAAATTTGGAATTATAAATTCTTTCTTTGCCCCTGGGAGATGTAAATCTTCTCCCAGTCTCTCACCAGTTTTACAACCCAGGAATGTCTTTCTCAGGGAAGGGACCTGGTAGCTATTCCTTTGAAATGTAACCTCTAAGGAAGAGAGGGCCCCTATCTTACAGTTTCTGTGAGAGAATAAGAGCCTAACTTTGATAAGCACCAATTAGTAAACACAGATGGCTAAAGGAGAGCAAAGTAAGCCACCTCAAAATATGCTGCTTAGGCACATATTGGTTATTTTGAATTAAAGTTATTCAAGAAACAGCTGATGTAAGGACACTCTGACCCTCCCTTGTCCCCCTGAAAGCAGGAAATAAATCTCCCATGTAAAAAGTACCCTCCCTGTAACAGGAGGGTAGAAGGTATTCTTATCACCGGCAATAGGGAATTTAGGGCCCAGAAATCTGTATAAAGAAATCTTGTTACTTCTTCACTAATTTACTACCCCCAGCCCAAATCCCTTTGTGTGTTTTCAATTCTTCACAAATTTATTGTTTCCTTGTCTAAAGGTATAAAAGCTGCCTGCTTTGGTCATTTCTTTGAGTATCATATTTTTATGGGCTCCTGTATGTATGAAATTAAATTCGTTTTTCTCCCGTTAATCTGTCTTATATTAATTTATTAGGCCAGCCAAAAAAAACTAGAAGGGAGAAGGTAAAATTTGCCTCCTTTCCATGGCCTAATCAACTGACCAACTTCTTTCTTAATGTCCTTCACTTTTCCAGATCTTAAGGACTCTCTCGCTTTCTGTTTTAGAGAAGTTGAGTTTAACCTCTCTCCCCTATTGCAATAGCCTTGAATAAGTCTTGACTGTTTAACTCCAACAGGTGTAATTTTCCTTTGACACTTACCATCTTGTTTGAAGGCATCTGAGGAATGATAAAGATTGATGGGGGAATAATAATGTTGAGCTGCCCCTTGCCAGTTTGGTGAAGAAACACTCAGTGTTCCTAACAAAGGACTGCTGTATCGTGGTCTGGTCTTCGAACCAAAGAGGGATGAAGATGAACTCTTCTTAATTCTTAGCAAAGTAGCATATGAAGTAGGGAGATCAGGAAGAGCTCCAGAATACTCTATAAAAGAAAAACAATAATAAAAAATGAATTTTGAGAAGACTTTTATTTTTTCCTATGAAAATTATTCCTTATGAAGACATTGTTGAAAACCTCCTTTGGAGCTGCAATCAAATGCAAACTACACTGAGAGTAGAAAAAATAAAATGATACTTTTATATTTTTACATATTTTTTGGAACTTCTACTAGTTATAATGCTGGGGTTCTGCAAGGAAGAAAAAAGACATGAAGTAAGAAAGGAAAGGAAAGAAAAGAAAAGGAAGAAGGAAGGAAGGAGGAAAAGCAGAAAGACATCTAACAGTTTAAGCATTTATTTTCTTTGTCAGGAATATGTGGGAATTAAAATTTGTTTGCATTAATATTAAAATATCCATTCACATACATTAAATAGGTTTCTCTTTTATTATTAAAAAAATGGGAAAAATGAAAAAACCCAACATTTTTGATTACATTCTATAAATACATACCGGATTTTCATCACCTAAAATTTATTGGATAACAGGAAATGTGTCTAACACAGCATATATATTTTGATTAGGCTGCAAGTTATGCCTTATGTTCCTGAAAAGCAGTCAAATTCACTATGGAACATAAACAATTTTGGATAGAATTTGTTTTGTAGATTGTGTTGTATAATCTATACAACAATATTATCAAGTAGGGTTACTATTCTGAAATTCCTATCTTTATTGATTGTTGAGAAATGTCTTTCTCATATTTTACTTTAATTCCCAAGGTTTTTTGTTATAAAAGATATGCATAGTGCCTGAAGTAGATTGTACTAATTCTCCTTTATGCCCACAGGAGAGAGTCAGTTTAGTGTATAGAGCAAATGTTTAAAAATACAAACTAATTATGATGAGTTCTAAAGAACAATTAGGAATTGGAATTTTTTTTTCTACATCTAATAATCAAATTCGACAATTTCTTGATCTTGGAAATACTTTTAAAAATCAGACATTTTTGTTCAGGGTATCTGACATTTGAACTTGATGCTAACTTAATTTCAGATAAAAAATAATTTACCTTTGTGAGTAAGCTTTCTCACAATTAAAACTATTTAGAATGATTATACTGCCTCATAGAGATATTTTGGAATAAAAGAAGCATTTCTGTGATTTGAATATAACACTTTAGGTGTTAAGCATCGATTAAGTTTAACATTTTCTGTTCTGTGAAATTGTAAATATGATTTCTCTGAAACTCAAAAAAGTGTATTTTTAGATATTCTCCACATTTAAAATGAGCATGATATGTGTAGTCCAAGCCTACCAGTAGCTGTTAAGAGATTCACGTCCTTTAGTCTTTATGATTAACCACAAGTCTAGTGAAGGTGGATCAATTTTAACTGAAAATAGCTCACCTCTCCAGGGCAAAATACATGAGAACAGATTATGGGTAGACATAAAATCTCCTTTAAAACCTTGAGCTAAATGCAAGTTTGGACACCTAGAGGTGTAAGGTAATGAAAAGAGAATGGGTTTTCCTTTAAGGTGGTTTGTAGTTTAGTCTCCGAAACTATTCATTTCTTAGTGTAGTCTGTTGCTTTGTGTTTTAGCTGCCTACCCCACTGATGTCTAAAAAGAAAAAAAGAACTATCCCAAGCTAGCATTAAAAATTAAAATAGAATATGAGAATGTGGTTTATAGTTCTTAAAGCTAGATAAGGATAATAGTGGAAAACTAGAAGGTCCATGATGAGGTTCAAAAAAGCCAGGATCATCATCATGGTTATAAATCTTATATATATTTTAACAAAATGCATACTGTCCAAGTGGTACAGTAATTGGTTTATGCCACTCCATATAAATCGAGATGAGCCAAATGCTAATTTGGCTGTGGGCTGCACACCAAGTCTTCATTTGTTATGTAATCAATTGCCTCTGTTGTACTGGAGGTTCCTTTTTCATCAATTAAAGTGAACCCAAACCTGTTACTGGAAATCTGACAATTTATTCATTCATTGATGTATTCAGCAAACTTGTAATGAGAACTTTGTAGGGGCTAATTGCTAGGGATACAAAGGTGAACAAGATATTGCACCAGCCTTCAAGGAGCTTAAGATCTAGTGGAGGAGAAAGGCAACTGTGATTGCAACTTCAATCCGATGTGATATAAAAGTAACTTCAGAGACCTATGGGCTCCCTCCCATGGAAGGGGAATCCTCTCATTCAGCCTAGGCCATCAGAAAATGCTTTCCATATGAAACTCTATCTAAATTGAGTCCTAAAAGCCCATTAGTAATTAGCTCAGCAAAGCTCTGAGTAGGGAAGGAAAGATATTTTAGGCAAATGGAAGAAAATATATGCAGACCTAGAAAGGACAGGCAGCATGGCATGCTTGGTAGATTAAAATAGTCAGGAGCTCAGAGAATGAGCAAGAGAGGTGAGAGGAGAGGTAAGGCTGGATAAGTAAGCAAGAGACCAAAGATGAAATGCCTAGTAAAATGGTATGACTTTGAAATGGGGAGCAATATAAGTTTTAGAAAGATCACTCTGGCTGCAGTACCATTTGGAATAAGACAAAAAGAGAAAAAGACTACTAAAGCTGTAATAAAGGCAAAGATTAGTCAAGAATGAGGAGATGATTATCTGAATGGGAATAAAATAAATAAGATTACTGATTGGTTATGTTGGAGGCAAAGAAGAGAAAATAAGAAACAGGGTGATCTGTGCTACTAGAAGATGGATAAGAATGGGAGGAAAAGGCATGTGCTTGACGTAAAAGCTCAAGAATTCAGTTTTAGGCAGGTAGAGGGCTTGAGGTGCTTCTAGGGCATTCACGTTGATTATAAGATTCTGTACACATAAGGAAGATGCAGACTTATGAGAGATTATTAAACGGTAACCAAATATGTGGTTATTAAAACTATGAGCATTGATGAGTTTGCCAAGGAAATATGTAAAATGAGAAACCGAGTGTTGGAAATGGAACTCTGAGGAGCATTAGCATTCATGAGAAAAGCAGAGGCAGTGGAACCTGGAAAAGAAAGAGGAAAACAGGAAAATGTGACGTCACTGAAGGGAAGGGAATGGAGTCTTCCAATGCAGGTGACAGAGCGGTTGACAGTGTGAAAGATCAGTGGAGAGAGGCTGGCCCTGCAGAAAGGAGGTGCCTAGCAGTGTCAAAGCTGCCTGACTGCTCCACATACAATGCACCGTAGACGTGAAAGTAGGGTCAAAGTCAGGAAGTGTAGAGGACTTTCTAAGATCTGGAGAGAGTCTGGAACCTCTACACCGCCATTTCCATTGCATTAGACATACAGACCCTGGCCTTAGCCTGTGGCCTCCATCAGTCTCCTGGTGTGAGTGTAACTGACTATCAATCCAGTGAGGTCTCCCTCTATCAGGGGCATTTTTAACTCTTCTACCTGAGGCTCTCCTAGCTGCCCAGCCCCTTTTTCAGATATCTTTAATATCTCCACTCCTCAATCCTAGTTCTAGGGCTCCTTAGCTCTGGAAAATAGATATATTAGCATAAATAAATGGGAAAATGATGTTTCAATTATAGGATTTTGGTTAACCTCCAACTTTGGGAGTCTGAATCGATTTAACACATGCAGAGCTCTATTGAGGGTGAAAAATACTGCATTTCCTTCCTCAGTTTAAATTCAAGTACTTGCATTTCTGTCCATCTCAACTTATTTCACCTCTTTCTCTCTAGAATCTCAACTTCAAGACTTAAAAGCTACCAATATTAATACCCTTTCACTGTCCTGCACCCTTTTCCTTTCCTCAATTCCCTCCCTATCCAGTTTAGTTCATGGTTCATTATTTTACTTACTCTCTTCAATGTACCTTCAACCACACTGCCCCTTACCCTCTATTGATTTCCAGGCTAAACTCTCTGTCCAATTTAAATCCAACTATCAACACACTCTGCTCCTGAATGCAGCTGGAGAAGAACACAGAATCATGCTTAAAGGTGTCAGTTCATGATATTAACCGCAAATGAGATTTTCAAGCTTCCCGACAATACTGCCACATTTCCCTAGTCCGGTCACTATCCCACTCTCCTCGATGAACAATTTACATCTTATCCTCTGTCTTCAAGCTCTGTACCTTCTTGCTCTTCCCGATGTTGGTGCTTCTTATTTCATTGAGAAAATAGAAGCAATCCGAAGAGAGAGTCTCTCACATACTCCTACCGCCTAAATGTACACCCATATACTCGGCCTTGCTTTCACTGCTATGCTATGAATAAATTGTCTGTGCATCTATTGAAGGCCAGCTCCTCCACTTGTGGGCATTGAATCTCATTCCATCCTATCTTGACTGCTCAAGGACAAATTTCTAGAAAACCCCCTCTATTTCTCCTTCAGCATCAATTTTTGTCTCTCTGGTAGATCATTCCCATAACTATATAAAAATTCTTCTAATCTTTAAAACAAGCTATCTTGACGTTACTATTCTTTCCATCTATTTTTGTTTACAGCAAGACTTCTTGAAAAGAGCTATCAATGGTCACTGTCTTCAGTCCCTCTCCTCCCATTCTCCCCTGAGCCTATTCCAAGTAGTTTTGATTACACCACTCCACAGCAATGACTCTCTTTACGGTTAACAATGACTAGGTCATCGCTATATCTAAGGATCAATTTTTACCGTACTAAACCTATTAGGAGTATTCAATTTGGTTAACCATTCCTTTTTCCTTTAAATATTTTCTTCATGTGATTCCAGGATATTACAATCTCATGTTTTTATTTCCATTTCATTGGCTACTCATTATTTCCCCTTTGATAATTCTTCTTTGTCTCCTCAACTTCTAAATGTTGGTGTACTCTAGAAAAAATTCTCAATTTAGACTATCCCTTCAATGATCTTATTCATTAACATCACCTCCCTCCCAGATGAATTCCACCTTTACTCTAGTCTCAGTTACTTGGACCCAGCTCTAAGTCTTTGAGATTCCAGTATTTTCCTATGCTCATTTTATCTCTTCCTTCTAGTTAACAACCTCTTTACTCACTCTCCTTTTGTGTTTCTGCCTCAGATCCTAAA